TGTCTAGCGTGCTAAAAATAACTGGGGACCGCAATATAAAAATGAAAATTCCAAGTCAAAACTCCCTCCGTGTTCACTCTGTACGAGCAGCAGAAACACTCGAAAGCATTCGAAGGATAGCAAGTGCCAGCAGCAAACACCCGATCGACGAGACTGTTGATGGCTCTCAAATTCGAGGATTGCTTAGAAGCAAGCTGACAGGTGGAGCCACAAATATGTTTCTTGAAAGTTTATAGCTGCATATGTGAAGCTTACAGTTATATAAAAAGTCCATAAGCTGCATATATGTATTCAGCATCGAAAGGATCGGAAAGAAAATAGCTATACTCGGCGTTCAGAAGCATCCTAGTAACAACACTGATGTAGGATACCCACACTCATACCCTAGATGGTCTTGATATTCTTCACATATTTTATATTATTATTATTATCACCCCTCCTCAAGTTTTGAAATTACGTACATGATTATCAGAGAAGCATTTGTCAAAAAGAAAACGAACTGCTAATTCTGACAGAGAAGCGGTGGTGAAATTCTCCCTGAGAGATGCTCAATTTTATTACAAACTCAAATGCGAGTACATTTTGCGGATTTCATGATTCTCTTCCGACTTCCTTCAAATTTGCATTTCCTTCGATGAACGGCTTTTTGTCGGAAAAACAACCGGGCTTCACGCAAAAACTGATAATCATGCACGGTGAGATTTTACGTGGCCCCACAATGCAACACTTCTGTCTCAGTCGAAGCTCTTTCTCCCTTCATGCAGAAAAGGCCAAAACACAGCTAATATGAAATCAATTGATAAATTAGCGCAGGAACCATTCCTGCTGCTGGCTATATGCTAGTTTGGTGTAAAAACGCATGATTGCACCGGCGAGCTTGGTGAGTTCCAGCCTGGATTGTACTATTAAAAACATCTCTCCCTAAGTTTTGAAATTACATATGTGGTTGCCTGCAGCATTTGCCAACAGGAAAGCTAATTGCTAATTTCCTTGACAGAGAAATGTGGAGGTGACATTTCCCTTTGGGAAAGAAATAAGAGTGCGCTAATTCCTTTGACGGGATGATGAGGGAGTGGTTCAAGTGCATTAATATCCCCCGGTACCCCAGTGAGCAGTGCATTGCTGTACTGTAACAGCACTAGTTTTTGTTTTGCTTGGTTGTGGATGCGAAAACGATTTTGAAGTGGCTCGACGATGCTTCGCCGTCTCTT